TTATCCTTATCATTTAAAGCAGGAAATTCAAATTCAGATTCAAAAACTTTTAGACAGTAAAACTATTAGATCTTCAATTTCACCCTGCAGTAGCCCGGTCTGGATTGTTTCAAAAATGTCTTCAGGGAAGAAAAAATGACGACTAGTCATTGACTATGTTTTGAATTTTTTTTTCTACTGTTAGAAGAAAGTCAATATCTAGCAGTAACTCGTTTAACAAAATTCAGTACAATAAAAAAAACCCAAACATGCACACACATTAGTAGTGTAAGATAACCGATTCTGGCACAGAGGAGTGAGGAACCGTTTGAAGTAACATCATCGATCTTAAACATGTAGTGGTGAATGTTTTCATATGATCACGTGATGTCATTAACTGTAAGCATGTCCACATGTATTGGTTATGTTTCTACCACAGAGAAAAAGTATTTTGAAAAGTAGTAATTGTTTGGAGGAAAAGGTGGGGATACAGTTGGGAGGACGAAGAAGCTGGTTGAGTGAAACAAGGTTTAAATGGAAATTCTAAGGGGTGCTGTACTTAAAAGGAAGAAGTGTCGTAAGGGTTGGTGTGTGAGAATGGATGTAAGAAGCAGCAGCTGTATCCATGAAGTGTGTGGTGGTATAGCTGTAATACAATATTGGAATAATGTGGAACATATGGAGGTATTGGACAAAGCATATCGTAATGTTGTGTTACATCGAGGAAACTATATAGATAGACATCAGTATAGTGAAAATAAATCAACGAGATACATGTGACGTCAGCCGGGTGAAAGAGTTCAGCGTTACCCGCACACTATTTCAAAGTAAAATTAACGCCAAAGCATGTTCTGCATACATTGTGTACTGCGACTGGAATAACCTTCGATATCTACCGATGTGCGGGGGCTGTCGATATGGAGCGAATAGTGGTGCAATAGTATCGTTGTATACACGAGTGGCAAATCTGTGGGTGTTAGAGGTTTATCTCCGTGATGAAGTTCGCACTCCGAACCATCATATAAGAAGGAAGGCTGTATTTGAAGAAGGGTATATAAAGCAAGTTTGCAACAATATTGTAGATGTTGAAGGAGCATAAACCATCTATATATAGTGGAAGTTGTTATGAAATAAATAATGATGTAGTGTGGAAATAGACTTAATGATCGCAAGACATAATAGTGGCGTATATATGTGGAGAAGTGTGTCAAGGTCGAAAATATTGAAAAAGAAAAGATAATGAAAACTTAGTAAAAGGCTGGAGTCAGCATAATGAATCGAGAGAGCTGACGCCTTTGATCTCCTGTAGTACAGAGCAGGCAGGAAAGTGTGTGTGTATCATCGATCTCATAAACTAAACCCAACTTTTCGCACAAGTATCAGTGAACCCCCTGACGACAAGGTCGACAGCAGCAGTTGACAACACCGACGTGATACATTCTGCGGCTGTACCAGAAAAGTAGAGATGTTATCAAGACGTTCTTGACAACAGAATCCTATTTCAACGTCACAGTTCTCACGAAGGCGTGGAAAAATCCTGCATTGGAACCACTACACTTCTGATGTTGGTCCTGACACGCGCAAGACAGGTTGAATCGATTTTATAATAGTTCACGCGTTCACAGCAACACTACACCTATACATCGCGTATATAGGTGAATCACAAGCTAATCGATATGTCGACAAGCCTGTGTCCTAAGAAATTGAAGCTTCAAATTTACAAAGACAATTTGCGTGTTAAATTGTCCTGAGATAGATGTTATAACACATTTTTTTGTATTTGTATTTTTTTTACAACATAATTTTCTTAAAAGTAAAATTATTAAACAAAATCGTCTTATAATACAACCTTTATTTTATATTATTGTATTTACACTATTAATTAAGTATGTTCAACAATTGTGTCTGCAATTCATTTAACTTCTTCTCCACCTGTTCCACTCGCTTTCTACCTTCCACCACCGACCTACTGCTGTTTTCACGACATTCTTCAGGTCCTGCAATTCTTTCTCTTTCCGCTTTATTTATTCCAAACATGAAGCGTCCTTCATGTCATGTTCCTTTATTTCACCTTCCCGTATTCACTTATCCCATTGAAGAGTCTTCAGCGCTTCTCGCACCTGGTCTACAAGCTTTGAATAATTCAATGGACCGCCCGACACTCTTCTGTTATACGTCCGCTTCTTGGGCTTCATACTTATGGATTTACTGCCCCTGCCGCCGTTCGCGATGTACTAGCCACAGGCACTGCTAACCTTTCCTACATCTCCTATGCATGGGTTTCCTCCACCGACCATTCTGTTTTGCTCGCCAACTGATCGTTGTGGAAGAACTCCTCTAGCATCGCTGACAGCTCCGACTCGTCCCAGATAACTGACACATCATCCCCATCACACTGAGCCACTTCAGCCATTTTACTTAATCGCTTCCTCCATACTTCTCTTACTTCTTAAATCACTTCAGCCCCTCTCTCATAATACCATCACCCCTTTTCCATATTCTCCCACTCCTTCTGAAAAGCATAAACTTTACGAGGAAAATTCAAACTTAAATAGGCTACCCCACCATCTAACGATAATTCCAGAAGGTCTAACAACTTCTGGTACAGTTGATAAAAGGGGTGAGTTGTAACTTCCTTAGCTGAAGAATGATTTAGAAAGACGTTCCGAATGCCAAAAAGTGGTAAGAAGTTGATGGACAGGTCATCGACTTGATGCAGTGGCCCATCTTTATTACTACTAATGGTAAAGCAGTTTTTATTGAAACAAATAGAATACCTTTTCGGAATGTTTTTATTCAGTATTACTTATTTTTAGTTTCACTCTTATGTTAAACGATTAATTATTTATCATCATTATCATCTTCAATTATTTCAGAAAACGCATACGCTTTGCAAGAATCGATTTTCCTGCCGTCGACGTAATGATAAGAGTCGAAGCATTCTTGACACATAAGCATATGTTCGTTAGGTAATCTGTCACATTCCGTGCAAACAACTTGTGCGTTATTGGTACCGCAAATGGCACATTTCCTCGAGTATTGCCGGTTCGTTGTCATAACGTAGGGATAGTCATATGGACAAAGGCAGTCGTCTTTCATGAGCAAACGAGCGTCGGTGAAGACCACTAGGTGTTCACAGTTGCCTTGGTGCACATACACATATGGATAACCGATACGAGGTTTTAAATCCTTGACGAATGTCTGAAACAATTCAATAAATAACTACCTACGTCAATAAATACAGGTGACGATCATTATATTGTCTGTAGCCAATGTCTATGGCGTGCTGACGAGAACGAAATCGTGGCCCACGTCTGAGAGTTTCAACAGATCACAAACCACGAACTAATATTCGATTATCTACAATCAATGGTTCTTAACCGGTGGTCCCTCAAAGCACCCGAAGAATTCATACAAATTATTAAAAATATTAAACCTTTGACAAGTCGACGACGCATCAATATTAAAGATTCGGTACAACATTTGTTAAACATATTCTGTAGCATTAAGAAGAAGGTACTTTACGTTACGGTATCAATTTTAACACTGGAACCACTTGGATGCGATTGTCGACATTGTAACCACAAAAATTCCAGTAAAACAATGTAATTGGTACAACAATTTCAAAATATAAAAATAAAATAAGTACAAAAAGTACTTTTAGTTTTGAATAATTTTATACGTGTTTTATTTATAGAACAAGCTTATTAGCCAAAGGGTTGGTGGTCCTTGGCAAGACAAATGGTCCTTCGTAAGAGGTTAAGAACCACTGGTCTACATAGATAATACGAATTCATTTTTCATAGGTCGTAGATGCATGTACAAATTAACAAAGGCATTTTACGATATATATTATACTGGGAAACAAAAAATGGGGTCTGTAGAAGAAAGAATTTCCAGCATCGTGCTGGCTGGTGTATTACATAACTTAAAAAAAAAGAAAGTGGAAAACGGTTTTTCAGTTAGTTATGTGTAATACCATATCGACATGTTACAACCAATAGTAGCGGTGACGTCGTAAAAATACATGTATGCTAGAGCATTATTAGTTTTCGTTTATTTTAGTAATTCATTTTTTCTTGGCGATTGTTGTTTATACAAAGTGTCTAGTTGTCATTTTCTGCTGCAATATTTTAACATATTTTGATACAAAAAATACTTGTGGAAAAGCACGTTTCAAGTAATGCATGCGCCTTCATTTCTTGTCAATATTAGTGTATCTCAATTGTGATTTTGATGAATGTTCTATAAAACAAACAGTATCCAGTGTTTTCGACTCGACCCCATTTGTATTTTCAGGACACACGTAACTGTTTCGAGTTATTGTAGACGAGCATTTCGCGAGTATCATGTCGTGAGTGGTATCGAACAATAAGTAGCTAGATGTTGCTACATATATGTGCAGAAAACATGAAANTACTATTGTAATGTTCGTGGACTTAACAAAATTAACTTTTAAGACTGATAACGACAAAAACTATTTATTTACACTAATTATTAAAGAACTTAAAAATACTGTTAAATTATTACTAAACATAGGTTATGAATTATTCTATTTTTTTACAATACTGTTAATATATCACTATTCACTGCGCTATTTATTTCACTGCTATCACTGTCAATTTATTTCTGGATTCACTTCAGCAACGGCCAATTTATTTCTACTTCTCTTGGCGATCGTCTCTTCCTTTGAATACTCTTTTGTTTCCTTTCTGGATCCCTCTAGAAACATCTGGATTGTTTATTTTTTTTCTTTGAACTGTTTAACTGCTTTCGCAGAACGCAGGTACGACACATACATTTACAAATACGGCGCAGATGAAGAAAGGCACCCGCAGCTAGTCGGCGAATCGATAAGCCGTTCACGCACACGTGTGCCCGATCGCACACAAACACACTCGTACTCGCTACACTATTTTGCAGGAATGAGACCTTATGTTAGACTACACATTAATGCGTATATAAATTGTTTATATTATAAATCCCGATAGGAACTGACGATAAGATGGTGTGCACGCGCCTACTTAAGTTGTCCTACGAAATAACTAAAATTGAGTAGTAAAAAGACCAGAAAAACACTATTAAATGAAATGAAGTGAAGTGATCACACGCATAACTCTGCAAACCTATAGTGCCACACAAAGAAGACAATAACTAATACAGAAGAGAATTAATATAAAGTGTAAACATTTAGAACAGAAAGGTTAACTATCGAGAATTATAAAATCAATACCCTACCCACCCAAATTACGTACATGTGAGAAGGAAGCTCAGAGAACCAGGAAAATCATTAGTATGCTATATAACAATGAAGATAACCACAAAGAAAATTTTAGCAAAACAAGTAAAGAAAAGACAAACATAAGAGAAAAAGATAGCCAACTTGACCACATTCTAGAAAAACTGAACCGGTTTTCCATGGCCTACAATAAAGGAAAACGAAAATCTGTATCAAGTGGTGGAAAATTTCCTTAATAAAGAACTCCAAGTAGATTGCAGAATTGAAAATGTCCAATCAATCAGACCCCGAAAAGTACCGCTGATATTGGAAACTAAACTAATAAACTGGAACGACAAGAAAGATATCTACATAAATGAAGACCATACAAAAGAGGAAAACAAAATCCAGCAACATATCCGAGCCAAAGCAAAAGAGAAAACGCCTATCGGAAGGAAAACAATCACAGGCTATAAAAAGCTAATTGTCGACAACGACATGGATCTGGGAAGAAACAATAAAATACTTGTAAAGAGAGATCAACACAATGGAAAGGAACATACAGAACAGCAGCAACAACACACACAAGAGAGTCCTACACAAACACACCTTTTTCGTCATTAACGCAGCCATTAATGAAAGACACCAAAAAATAAAAGCAACAGACACGAAATAGGCGTACTGTTCTGGAATCTGCATGGATGAGAGCGACTATTTAACATAACAAACACAGAACAGGACAAACATGTAACAAATTGTAATGTAATGGCCGTAAGTGAAACGAGATGCACACAGGAAACAAGAAAGCTACCACAAATGTTCAAACACATTAAATGGATTGACCGAATAGCCACCCAAGAAAGGGAAATGGGAAGGACTAGTGGTGGACCGTCAGTATTATATGATTCTGTTGTAATCAAAAATGTAAAAATTCTACAACAATATGAAGGGTGGATAAGCTTTATATGCCAAATAAACGGCCAATTATCGTCAGTGTATATTTGAGAAACCATCAATACGAACACAGACTAAGCATCCTGGAGGACCATGTACGAGCATGCGCAAAAAAAAACAGTAATGATGCGGAAGCGTTTGAGGGATACAATTTCGAACCAACAAGGCACGCAGAGGACAAAACACTCAATAGAAAAGGAATAACAATACTAGAAACATTTAAGCAATTGGGACTAGTTGTGCTGAATGGCAGATCGCTCTCAGACATATTGGGAGCGCCAACATTTGTGGAGACACAAGGAGTAAGTACCATCGACCTCGTATGGGTGAGTCTACCAAGCTTAAAGTTTGTAATAAATTTTGAAATCCTGCCAATAGGTTTATCAGACCACACCTAATTAACCATTGAGTAAGTCCACAACTCATAAAAGTCCTACAAGTTTACTATTCCGAAGCAACAACCAAAATTAGAACAGCATCATGATGCAAAACAATAGAAATAACATTAACGGAAGGCGTACTACAAGGTGACCTACTATGCGCACTTCTCTTCATAGTATTAGTAGGAGACATCATGGACTTCTTCAAGGGAAAAGGCCATACAAACGTAGACAAAAGAATTGAACTACTACTGTTTGCGGATGACTTAGCAATACTAGCAAATGACGTTGTCGATCTCCAACACAAGCTAACAACTCTGCAAGATAATACCGAAAAGAAGAAACGACGGTCAATATAAGAAAAAACGAAAGGTACGGTATTCATTAAAGCGGGAAAAACCCAAAACTAAGGAAATTCCGCTACAAAGGGGATAAAATTAAGATGGTCCTAAGTTTCACCTACCTAGAAGTGCAGTTCTTATAAAACGAGAGCAAGATTAGCTTTATCCACAGTCTCGAATTATATGATAAGAACAAGAATGACACAGTGGGACCAACATATGACACTCTTCAATGAACTAGTGTCTTCAGCTTTAATGTACGGAGCGGGTATATGTGACCTCAATCGCGCCAACGAAATAGATATTGTACAAAGGAAATTCATAAGAAGTGTTCATAGAACCACACCAGGCTACGTAATACGATGCGAAAGTGGGGTCATATCATTAGAGCAAATAAATTACCAAGAGGGCGCTAATTTATTGGGCAAAATTATTACAAATGATTGACGATAGGTACCCAAGAAGGTGCTACGTTTGGCTGAGAAATTTAAATAAAACTCCCACAAACATAGAGAAAAGGAACTGGTGCTCGTCTATAAGAAAACTTCTAAATCGCGTCGAACGCGACGTTCTTTGGGAACAAGAGGAAGTCTCAGGACAACAAGTACTGCGCGCCATACCAAATATAATAATCAAAATCACAATCACAACAGATCAGTACACACAAGACATTACAATAATTTCAGAATCAGAGTATATGCCCACGTATAAGTACATCAAAGATCAAGGAGTACCATCGAGAGAACAGTATGTAGATTGGAAAATCCCAAAAAAATTCAAACAAATACTAGCCCAACTACGCCTAGGAAGCCAAGAAATTCTAGTGATCAAAATAGAGAAAATAAAATACGAGATAGACATTCCAACAGAAGAGAGGAAGAAATGCTAGAACATATTGTAGCGACCACGACCGTGATTGTGTGCGATGGGGCATACAAGTGTGTGAGCGGCTTATCGAGTCGCCGACTAGCCGCAGGGGCCTTTCTTCATGTGCGCCGTATCTGTAAACGTGTGTGTTGCACCTGAGTTCCGGGAAAGCAATTAAACAGTTCAAAGAAAACGAAACCAGTTGTGTAAATAGATAGAATAATTACCTAAGTTTAGTAAATAACTTACTAGTGTTTTTAAGTTCAATAATAAATAATTATTAGTGTAAATAGTTTTCTTCTTAAAAGTTAATTACAATATAATATGCAACTGTCCGGCTTACGAATCATTCAGAAAAAATTTCATCACGAAAAACACAATTATTGAAGTACATAAATGACCAAGATTAAGCTTGCAAACTAGTATACTTTGTTCAAAACT